AGAGGTAAAACATGCGAATTCAGTCCAAATTTAAGAAGAAAATTGTTTACTTTGGTTGAAATTCCCAATCCACAGGCTATTCTTCCTGGTTCCCCTGTTGCAGCTACAATGTGGTATCTCACAATACAGAAAACATTCAGGGATAGTTGTGTTGGCCATTTGGCAAATTCAAACAAAAATCCATCAGTGATACCTTTATTGGCCAACCAAAATGCACAATATACTTGTTGCAAACTTCATCAGTAGCCCCGTACTCAGATCTTGCATATTCAGGTCTGTGGCTTTCTTGACTGAGTCAATCCACTGGTAATGAAATCTTTGTCTTTTCCTACTGCCTTCCACTTTACTGAGCATTATTATCTTTTCAAATGGGTTCATCTCATGACGTGTCCAAAGTATGAAAGCCTCAATTGAGTCATCTTGGCTTCTACTGAGAATTGAGGCTTGATTTGCTCTAGGACCCATTTATTTGTCTGTAATTTGCAGAACTCTCCTGACATATTACATTTCATATGAGTTAATCTTTCTCTTTCAGCTGTCTTCAGCAACGTGCAGTTCCAGTATGGTGAAATAGTTGGAATAGGACTCTGGAAGGCTAGGGTTTGAATATCTACTCAGCTGCAGAAAATCCCTGGGTGATATTGGGTAAGTCACATTTTCTCAGCCTTTCTCTGAATAATTATATCAAAAAAGCACTTCTAGGAGAGGATCACCATAAATCAGTGTGGACTTGAAAGCACATAAGAAAAAATTAGAATTATTAGGCCCAAAGCTCTAGTGCCTCACCAAACAAGAAATCCCAAGATTCCATAGGATGCAGCCATGTCAATTAAAGTGGAATATTTGTGTTATAGTTGTGTTGTATGAAAGGGCCCCTGAGCTCATTCTTGTAGTATATGAATGAACCCTTTGATAGATTTGGTTAACAACCTGTTTTCAGAAAGCAACTCTGCTGCTCCTTGACCTTTACCTAGAAGAGTAAAGAATGGAATCACTTCTACACATTTCTGCATGTATAGCAGGGGTAGGCAACCTTTCCCCTTTAAGGGCCAAGGGACTTCAGCTCCCAGAATCCCAGGAGCTATTTGTCAACATGGGACTATTGGCCAACATGGCTGAGGCTTCTGGGAGCTGAAGTCCCTCGGCCCTTAAAGGGGAAAGGTTGCCTACCTCTGATGTATAGCATCATATTGATTTAATCTAGTAGGCCATGTGTCCTTGTCATCTGACATCTGAAAGGACAAGAATTGTAAAATGACTGTGATTTCAAAATCAATTAGGTCTGTAAAATCCACTTGGAACAAGCTCTGGTATTGTATCTTGCAATGTACTGGTAAAAACTATGGATGAGATAATATTAATGCAGTGTTCTATCCTCAATGGGACAGGGGGTTTCAATGCATTGAAGCACCCTATTGAGAAATCAACAATCCTCCCTGAGATTTCTTCCATCCTGCATGAAACCAAATCAACCAGACCTTTATTTTCAGTTGAAGGAGCTTATTGCAGAGGGTTAAAAAGGTAACTTACCTCTTTCGGCTTGAATCTTCTGGGATACATCCAGGTGTTATCATATGTAAGCCACCACTGATTCTGCTGTGATGCTATCAGCCAAAAACAGACCAGGTAAGACTCATTCAGCTGACCAATTTTTGAAGTCGGAAGCTTCCATTTTCGAAAAAGGGCTGAGCGGCTGAGCACGGCTTGGGAGCTGCGGTTTGCCTGGACTGAATTCGACTGGCGGATTCGGTGGCAATTTACATATGATAGTACCCAGCTGCAGCCCAGAAGAAGATTCAAGCCAGATGAGGTTAGTCACCTTTTTAACCCCATGTGATAAGCTCCAAAGTTTCTCCAGCTTGCACAAGCTGTCTCTGAAAAAAGAGAATTTTTCCTATGTGAAGCAAGGCATACATAACTATATCAAGAACAGACGTATGAGCTTATTTATTGAAAAGATGCAAACAACCTAATCCTTGTACTTTTTTTTTTATCATCCATGCAATAAGGCAGCAGCAGTTGTACCTGATCCCATCCACCCCCAATCATGCTATTTATGCAAAGAAAAATATGTTTTTGCAAGATTTAATAGTCTTGTCAAGAACACACAAAAAGTTCTCACTATCTCTCAGGTGGGAAGAAAAAAATTGAGGTTTCCATTCTTGCACATGAGAAAGAGACTAGTAAAGATTTACATCTCTAGTAAAAATAGAAATAGGAGAAATGAATGCAAGAATTCAAGAATAGCATTCTAGTTTTTGTTTTTGTTTTCCTTCCTTTTCTTTCTTCCCATCAGAGGATGCTGGTGCCTCCCACATCAATGGGACAGTGATTTTTCTAGATTTTAATTCAAACTTTAAAAAAAGCTATCCAATGTGCTATTTACATTTGGAGACAGGGTTGAACATCTTGGATAATGACTTTAAAACTTTAGACTAAAACCTAATGCAGATTCACCATCAGACTGAAATGGAAGCCCTTAAACACAATTGCTTTCAATATATTACTCCTATGTTTAAACACTGACAAACAGACTATGTGTGTACATTTAATCTCTGAGCATATATTGACAGTTGGCCCTCCACAGCTTTTACTTTTGTGGATTTGATTATTTGTGGATATGATTAATATGTTCTCTCTAGGAATCTCTAGGTCCTCCAGTGCAACTCTGCTGGATGCTGACCATAGAGTTCCTCTGGAGGAACTAGAGAAAATACTCTCTGGATTACCTAGAGATTCCTAGAAAGGTGTTTTCTCAGGTTAAAAAATAGTTTTTATTTTCTGTTTTTCCACATTCATAGGGGCCATGTGCCCCTAGCCCCAGTGAATGTGGAGGGTCCACTTGTGTGTGTGTGTGTGTGTGTTGTTGTTGTTGTTTTTGTGTGTCTTCAAGTCATGTCTGATTTATGATGATCCTAAGGTGAACCTATCAACCAAAGTCACCCAGTGGGTTTCCATGGCTGGGAAGGGATTGAACCCCAATCATCTGAGTCCTAGTCCTATCTATATACCTATATACATATATCACCTGCTCAATATATTCTATGCATTTAAATTTATATCATTTAATTAATATGTCCAATCTTATATCGTCAGCTTAGTTATACATCTATTAACTAAATATCATGTCCTGGCTCACCTCATCAAACCTACCTTAACAATCAGCAGCTGCTCCAAGTGACAGTGGTCTGTTCTGCTGGCAATCTGGCATAACAATGTCTCTACTCCCTTTTTGCAAGCAAATGTAATAAGGAATTGTAAAAGGTGTCCTGCTTCTGATTGTCACAGATTCACTCACTGGTGGAAGGGGGCTCTAAACATCAACCTGCTATTCCAGCCACTAACAGATAGTTTTTCACAGTAGCTCCTTGGGGTTTAAGGTGGGATTCAGGGGAAATTTACAGTTGTGGCAATAATGAGTGTGAATACTGAGTCAAACTTATTATAGAGCAGTTAGGGAAGTATAACTCTAGGTCACTGATTCTCAAATTCTGGTCATCCAGGTGTTTTGAACTTCAGCTCCTAAAAGCCTCAGCCATCTTTGTCAGTAGTATGAGATTCTGGCAGCTGAAATCCAAAACACTTGGTAGGCTAGATTTGGGAATCTCTGTTCTAGGTTATGGATCCATAAATACAATATGGCAGCCTGTATCCTTTTTCTTTTTCTTTTTTTAAGTGAATGGATCACCAATGGGTCTACACTGTCCAGAATACTACAGGCTGCCCCCAGAGTTTCCTGGACCCAAAACTGCCCCAATTTCCCCCATTACCTGCACACTCGAGAGCAATGTTGGATGGCACACTGTTGGATGGATCTACACAGTGTTGACTGTAGAGTTGTTCTGGGGGACCTACAGATATCTAGAGAGAGCATATTAATGTAACCCATGAATAATCCAATCCACAAAAATCAAAGCCACAAATGTGGAGGGACTTTTCCAAATCCATAGGGAAAGTTTAGTGATGTTACAAGGCTAAGCAAAGGAGACATAAGTTAATCTCCTCATAAAAAGAAGCTTGATTTTAATAAGCTCCTCTCATTTGCACCTAGACTGTCAAAGCAGAAGGATTTATATTGGTAGCACTGTATAAAAAAACAAAAATGGTGAATGCAGAGAACTAGAAGGAAATGGCCTTCATTAATTTGCATGCTTAGAGTTTCCACAATAATGAAGACACATTACTTTTTAAATAACTCTTCCATCCATTTCCATATTTTCTTTTTTATTCCAGAGTAGTGCAAATTTGAGCAAAACTGACAAAACCATTGAGTGTGCGGAGAAAAAAATGGACAGATTTGCCGCTCTCATGTATATAATCATATATAATTATTTATTTGTGGGGAGGTAGGGGACAAAATGCACAAATCATGTAGCAGAAGAATAATTATTGCATAATACACAATGGAAAATTAAAATGTTGTTTTTTTGGAATTTGTTCTGGTTGTGCAAGCAGTATGAGGAGACCACAAGTTTTATTCTGCAGATTATATCCTTCACTCCTGGAGGTTCTCTCAGACTGGTAGCTCCTAGCACTTTATTTTATTTTATTTATATGGTGCCTTTTGCTTGCAAAAAGGGAGTAGAGACATTT